TCTGAGACCGTATAATGAGCTCTGGCTATCCCTTACTCTCCGTGTATGTAAAATAAGGAGATGTGGCATGATTGCCAATGAGACAACTATCAAACATAAAACGGATTAAAGCAACTATAAGGTCACCGTACGGTCTTCCAAAAATAAGCAAAACCAATATCGTATAGTTAGCTTTAAAAGTCCCCGACAAGACACGATCGGCACGAGGCATACAACAACTAACATAGCGACAAAAGATACAAAAAGTATCGATCTAAGAGTACTCGCAGTTACTGAAAACTAGTTTATAGACAATATCAACTAATATATAAATCATATTCCCCTAGACTTAAGTATCTACTAGTACACGTCATGTAGATTAAGTGTTTAGACGTCATAAAATGTCTGAAAAGCATGACCTTGCGCCATGCCATGCCATTATATAAGTATATAATATCGACAGGATGAAGGACAATTAATTTCACAACTGTATACCAATGCATATTTAGTTATGTTTTAATTCATAAAAAGAAAACCTCAATGTTAGTACCGATAAAAACAAAATCAATGTTAGAACCGATAAAAACAATATTCAAAGATCTTACTTTGGTGTTAAATTGATAACCTTGAAGAATAAGTGTATATAAAGGATCAATGAGTTTAGCTTGAACGTATCTAAATTTAAGAGCTTTTATAAGCAACATTTCCCTAAAAATTAGGTTGTAATATTCCGTTTTTAATAAAAATTCTACAGGTACAGCCAAACTTCAAAACCAAATCTATGTATCTATGAAATAAGGAAGTAAACGTTTTAAGTTATTTATGTAACGAAATCCGTAACATCAAATTACCAGTTATACAATGATTACGTTCATTGGAATCTTAAACGTTCCTACAGACACGAGCATAGTGAACGAGTTTGGAAACGCATCGTAAGAAGGGTTTGGGGGCCAGCTGAAGGACGCTCCCGGGTGCGGGAGTTTCTCGCTGCATTGAAGACCCATTGTTGTCTGCTCTATGGTCGGGTTGTTGTCTCTTTGACACATTCCCCATTTCCATTCTCAATTTTATAACCGTTCAAAAAAGGGACACGTCTGTATCAGTTCAACTTATCCAGATGGCAAACATAGATCTGGTGAAGCTTTAGTCACTGTTTAATGTATTTTTCTCTTTGTGCAATATCTTTTTATAAAATTTTTAAATATATGATTTATAAATTTTCTGTGGTATCTTTTTTCGAATGGTTTCCGTGTGTTTAGTATTGATATTTCTCCCTCTTCTAAATATTTATGTTTTCCGGTCATTATTGTCGCTTATGTAAACATTAATACTCATTTAAGCGCCTATCGTCCTGTTATTTTTCCAAAATATTGTATCTGTTGATAGAAAAAGAAGAAAACCCGTCTGCATGTATGCAACACTTTAATTACTATATGCTCTTCCATAGCTTTGATCATCGCATTAATTGACACGAACCAAAACGTAAACATAATGTCAATAGGGCGAGCAATCAAAAAGTCGTTAGCGTGGAGAGAAAAAAAAAGAACATGCCGAGAAAAAGAATTGCAAATTGAACTGACAATAAAAACAGGGATTGCTCTTTTTAAAAGTCGATGGATAATGAGGTTTTTTCTCTGTTGTTAATTTATTGTTGATAATTACTGACAAGAACCAAATGTCAGAAAAATAATATTTACTACTACCATTTTCTTTTGTAGTTTAAACTGATTTACCATGGACTTTAATTATCTGGCTAATTTATGTAACTTATCTTATATTTTGAAGGAAAAAAATAACAAAAATAAGCACATAGACCAAATTATGGTAGAATGACACATAATATTTCGCTTAAGCTTATCTGAGTATCTTTCAAGTTTTATAAAATTTGTATTTAGAAATGTGTTTTATACATTATTGTTTAAGGGCCAGTTGAAGCCCTCCTCCGGGTGCAGGATTTTCTCGCTACGTTGAAGATCCTTTATTGGCCTTGGGCTGTTTTCTGTTCTTTGGTCGGGTTGTTGTCTCTTTGACACATTCCCCGTTTCCATTTTATAGTCTATGCTAATTTTCAAGAAACATAGCATGGTATACTTTCCTTTACTTTTTTTTTATAAAGTATGGAATTGTTCCTGCATGCATTCTATGGTAAGGAAATCTACACGATATGGATATTTACATTTCAAGAGAATGCTAGTCTTGTTTAAATGCTATCAGAATATAAACAAAAAAGCGAGGAAACACTTTTCGTACTTTTTTTTGTATATAAATAGGCAAACATAAATCGTCTTCTTTGATAAGCTACATTCTCTTTAGATTCTATGAATTTATAGCCGTTATATATTTAGTAAATAATATTATTTATTACTTGAAAGTTTATGATTATTACCGATTGCAGTAAAATTAATGTAAAACTGTCTTCATGCAAATATTTGACTCAATGAATGTAGAATTATACCACCCCTAGATACAATATGACTTCTGCTTTAATACTGTCAACCTACATAAAACGTATTGTGCAATCTATACTATACTGTTGGACTTAAAAAATGCAACACATTTTGGTTATTTTTTTTACCAAATCATGATTGATCCTCTTAAAAATCATGATTGATCCTCATAAAAATTATTGTCATGCTTTCCATACTTCTTTCTGTTTAGAAATAATCAATACCGAAATTACCGGAAGTAATTGAACAAACCGAATTATTTAAGTCGCACGAATTTCTTAATATGGTATTTGAAACCCATAAATGATAAATTTTAGTTTTTTTTCGTCGTGAAAGAATTTTTTTCAATCCATACCCATACATAAATAAGTCAAATAATGATGCATTTCCATATTGATGAGACTGAGCAATGAAAATCTGAATCAGGTCATAAGTATATTGCAGACAAAAATACGCGAATGAGCTGCTGCTAGACAATTACACGCCAGAAACTCCTCATACTGTCCTTACAACGACGGTACAGGCAGACGGTGTTGATGACCACCCATGACCAGATCATTATGTAGTGCGAGACATGTTTACGGCCGCAACGTCAAAAGCTAATCAAGTCGTCGAGTGCCATTGCAGACGGGTTCGCCATAAATGTTTCCCATATATACTGAAATGCCAAAGAATCGACAACAGAAAAACATTTTAAGCCCTAAAGTTTAAACCGCATAATTGCCAAAAACACACTGTAATGGGTGAAACAGAGGCCAAATCAGAAGGGACAAAACAGAATTCAAAACATGCACAACAGAACTGGTTGAATTTTCTGTCAATCATACAGGCGTAGGTTACAGTCAGTAATTGCATTCGACGGTGACACATCCATTGATAAGGGGGAAACCAGGGTTCTAGTGCATACCACATGATCTGAACATTAAACATGGCGTAATCAATTCAACTTTCGAACTGCAAACTTTTTTAGACATGAAGAAATGAATGAAATCTACTAAATGTATAATTTATCTTACAAGAATTGCATATTTGAAAAATGAAAATTTAAAAGAATAATCTAGTGTTGCGTTTTTAAAGTCTGTCAGTATATTAAAGTGTCCAAACCTTACCATTAGGTTGTACGTAGATCGATGTGTCTGAAATAGAGATTTCAAGTCTTTAATCGTTTAAATTTTTGTAAACGTGCATTTACAAGCAAAATAAGCAAAAAACCCAAGTAATAGTTCTTCTGTATCAAATCATTTATCGATTGAATTTTTTTAAACATACACATGCATTTAATCCGACTTAAAAGACACCTTCTAACTCGCAGGACTGTAATAGGATTATCACGTTTATTTTCACAATTATCTTTGTCAATTGTTGAAATACATGTAGTAATTATTTATGTTGAAAGAAGTATGTCAGTGGACTATTTGAGTCATGTTCAATTGTTCTAATACGTTTGTCATGGACTGAATTTGTTTGTCTTGGACTAATTTTATTTTTAAGAACGTTGTAGAACGTTGTTGTTTGCAAATTATGATTTTTTTTTATTTAACTTTTTCTCATTCTTTGTTAAATAAGGTACGTTGTAGTCCGTTATTGTTTGTATATGTTTTTGTTTTTAGTCAAATTTTTCGTTCAGTGCATGTGCTTACTAAGAATTACCGAATCCGTAATTTCATTTTTATATCAGAACGTTGTGGTGCGTGTTTTGATTTATTTTTTGTGAATTTTTTAGCCCAATCTTGCTTTATGAAGTTTATAGGACATTTGCACGTGTTTAGACAATTTGGTTTAAATTAATTTACAAAAAGGTGTTTGGTGGTCAAAAAATTATTTGAAAAAAAGATTGCTCTCGCATCTGTGTTATCATTGTAACCCTAACTTTGAAACAAGTTACAAAACATTTAATATTTTTTATATCATACCACCAGTCCAGTAAACGGCGCTTCTGTGCTGACATGAAATATCATTGATGCGCCTTTTTCTGTAAAATTGATAATTTTTCTAATCCCGGGCATACCCAATAGAGATATGTCACTTATTTTATTTCCAATGTTTTTCCAGCTTCTTTGTCGATGTTGCCGCCTGATCTGTTTTGTTTCGAGCGCGACTGGTGAGCCGTATGTAGACGAAACGCTGATCTGACGTCATACATTATAAGCCTGATAAGTTTTGATAGTTTTAAATCTGACCCGTCCACTAACCTCTAACCCTAACCTCAAAACAAAATGTAGCATTACATTATATTTCCACGCAATAAAAAAATGTAAAAAAAAAATGAATGCGAATCATAACCGAGTAATGATAAAATAAATAAAAGTAAATAAAACATCTTTGGTGTTTAAAGTTCATATCATGAAGTAAAGGTTTGTTGCGATAATATATAGGATCAAGGTAGTATACCTGCACACGATAGTACTTTAATTCATTACACTAGTTATAGTAGCACTACCCCTTTTACACATAAATTTGTCTGTGTTCAGTAGACCACAAAACTACCAATTTTGATTGGTCGACATATGCGATAGCATTTGTATATATTCTGCTACAAAATTTATGAATGAGAGTATATTAAATATATTCCAACTACTTCTAAATTTAAAGCTATTCCACTTAATACCGTTGGGCAAAAATTATCGCAAATGCTTCATAAAAATATTTAACATTTATTAATTTCATATTGATATACTTTAAATGTTAAAACTTACAATACACTTTTTTTCTACTACGTATATTTCACACCTAGAAAAGAGAATTCTGGGTCGTGCAGAGATATTGTGAACAGTCATCTTTTATGATTAGAGGATAGTCAAACGAAAGTAACTTTATAGCAAAAAATAGCATTATGTTCATGCATAACAGCAATTAAGTTCAGGAAATTCTTTTCTATGGAGTTGAAAAATGAGGCTTCACGGACTATTATCAACTCTGATATTATTTCAAATGCAGGTAAGTTCTCTTAATTAATTGAACAACTAAATTTGTTTAACTAAAAATTTCAATAGCAACTATGAACTATACTTTTATAACTTTTCAGGGTGAATTTTTTTAGGAATTTGAATTTTAAGAAGTCAAGCTATGGTAGTTATTATATGTTTGTACGTTAGCATAGTATTTTCTACTATATCAGCATATCTAACACTTTGTAGTTAAAACGTTGGAAGACACCTGTTAGGTTGATTATATAATGTTACTTATCGAGTGTTCTGCATTACAGATTCGTACTTAGGAAGCTGGTATTTTAATGTTTGATTTCATTAATGTATGATTTCCAATTACATTGCAATTACAAAAATGTATAATGTCTTCGAACATAACCTTGGAACATATTTTACAAATTACCGACAGTTAAAGCCTTTCGATAAAATGCGTTTTTTTATTTTACGTTATACTACATAAGCTATTACTTGTCCTTGTGTTCGTTTGATCTGTTTTTGTAATAATTCAAATAAATTAGTACATATTAGCGATTGATTTTCGGTTGATTTCTTACTCTCGAAATTATCTTTAAAAAAACCAGGTGTTTTACTAAAGCTTCTGGAATGATGTTCATTAACCAACTATTTTAGATGCTTTTAAATTCATAGATGCTGGGACATAAAGAGGTCAGAAAATTCTTTTAATAAAAAAGATTTATCCACAAAAAAGAGCCTAAATGAGATCCTATGGGATTTCAAAGGCTGACATGAATTTCTAGGTTTTTTTGAGATATGGAGAAGAAGTGAAGGACCCATACCATACTTCTGGCCGCCTGAGTCTCCTTTATCTCACCACCTATGCGTTTGTTATTTAGTTTCATATCCATAAATACGGTTGGCTTTTCTTTGAGTGTGTTTTATGAATGTCAATCACGAGATGAGGAGATATTTTGAAATTTTCCGAGTACCAATTGGCTAAATCATCGCCAGTAACTCAATCTGCGACTATCAAATCAAAGAATGATGCCCGCAAATGTTTATAAACATTACTGTTAGCATTCCAATGCATCTGAAAGAAAACGGCACTGAATAATACATTGTAAATTCAGTCATACCACGTCTGTAGTTGCGCACACAATTTCAGAACATCAATCGTAAAATTGATGCCCTTGAATTATAGTGTAATAGTTATCCAATGAAGATAATCGTGAAAACATTGTTACCATAGAATGTGAATTAGAGATTGCATACAAATGTTGAAATTGATTGATTGATTGTTAGTTGCTCACGGTCCAGTGCAAATACTCCATGCATGTTCAGGACGAGAACATATTAATAATAAATACAATAGGTAGGTCCTGTAATAGAATCCGTCCGGGATTAAGGTTGGGGAAATTTAGACTAGCACTAGAAATGAGAGTATATTGGATAGGGACAGAAATTTTGCCTTGCAAAAGGCCCCCTACGGACCCCTCAAAGAGTTGTTATAAGGGTTCTTTACGTGCAAAAAGCGTGGCACTCTCTCTACACGAGGCATCGGATTTTATGTCGCCATTCTGACCGGACGTGGCTGCATACTTGTACATCCCGCGCAGCCAAACAGACGCCCCACTTAGGCAAGAATTTACTGACGGTCGGAGGAAGACCTGTAGTGACCATATTTCTATTCCCTAGTTACCCTTGGGGTGTTGAAATTGAAACAGTCCGAATAAGACCCAATAACACTTCTAATAAATTCAGTCATACTGAGAACAGGTTATACTTACTTATTACACTCTTATAATAATTATATCCACAAAATGCAGAAGAAGGTCCAGTCCTTCTATTTTATTGTAGAAAATTTGATTGCATTTCCCTGTATTTTTTCTACCACCCTCTCCCCCTTCCCTCAGTTCTGGATTCGCCACAGAAAAATGCACTTCGTAATTGAAATGAAAGTATCAATACAAAGATTACTTTGTTATCAGATAAATGGTCGAATTAAAAGATCACAAACCGGAAATCGTTTTTTACAATTCGATCATTCGTTATTATGTTTAAGAAAAATGGATAACATTTCGTGCTTGTTTCTTTCTTATCCATGCATAAATAATCTGAACTTTGTGTCACATTATTCTAGTAAAATAAATACGAATAGGAAATTAAATGAACTGTACTTAGTGTCAAACAAAAGGAGACAGAGCTTAACACTGGACTCTTTTCTATCATCCGTGACAGTGCATACAACTTTGCATGTATGAATCGAAGACTATTTGTTTGATTTCGTAATTAATACCTGTAATACGCGTGGATGTATTTCATGTGTGATAAAATTAATTTGCCATCCGTTTCTTGTGTAGTTGTTCTGTTCCTATATGATTTTATGTGAAAGTTGTGGTTTTAGTATTGTGTATTGAAGAGTAATTTGTGTATTAATTTTTGATTATAAGTTCTACGTTATGTCTTATATTTTTTGGTTTTATTCATTTTTTTCTTTTCCACTTTTTTCTGTATCATTATTTTATTTGATTGTGTTTCTTTCGTTCCATCCCTTTGTAACACTTCTTTACAAGCTTAACTATTATGATTTAAACACAAATGCGCTCATCGGTATGCTGCCAGTAGTCTGCAAAAGTCATGGATGATTAAAGAGACTTTTATATCAACGTTTAAAAGTAGACTTTTCCCAAGACTACGAAGTGGCTAAAAAGGTGCTTCTGAAGCACAAACAACCTTTGTGAAATTATCTTCAAATAGATAAAAGGGACGATATATCAATTTGTCGTAGGTTGGAAGCTATATTAGATGACGGATGCTATTTTCATTGCATTTCGTTGTCATCTTTCTTCTTTGTTATTCATGCATTAGCTATGAATTTTTTTATTTATATTGTGTTGAACAATAAAGTAGCTATGTGAAGACCGTAGTTTCTGTAGGATGCAATAATGTGTTTTCTGATAGTAGCTGACTTCTGTCAGAATTAACTCTTATCTTTAGTAATCGTAATGTAATCTGCTCTGACACGTTAATTCGATAGGGACACACGACTACCGGCATCCTTTGCAGAAGCTTGTAGAGATTACACGAATGATAAGATACAAAGTTAAGTAAAGCATGTAAACTAAATGGAGATTATGTCATGGTGATACAACCTGTACTTTTGTCATTAATTTATTGGGAAAAAGAAAGTTTTTGGCATTTAATCTTAAAAAAAGTGACAACATACCAGTCGTACCTAGCAGCGTTTGACGTTAAATATAGAATTTATGATGCATAATTTGCCACTTAAACAGTGTAGGAGGATTTATACACGACATTTATGGGGATTCTGATGCTACAGTTTTGTCATCAGTAACATGTTTTTCCTTAAATGTGTATTAAAAGTAAATAAATTATGTATACTTGTGTCGGAACAGTAAGCATAACATCGTTGCAATATCCGAATGAATAAAAAATCTTAAGTATATTGAAGTTCCAATCAATCACGGGATAAACATCAATAATAAATTATCTCTAATTTATAGTTGAAGCAATACTTTTACTATTTTTATGTATGGTTTGTTCTGTGCATTGCATAATAGTATGACTTCTTGTACTGTATATGACGTTGTTGTATTAAATCTGCTATGCAGTACAACAAACGATATAATAAGTCATACGGTTTGCCACTGACCCCCTACAGATCCATAAATGGTTAGTAAAATCAATAGGGGATGAAACAAAACTTGACAGGAAAAGTCCTGTGTGCTATAAATTCGTTATACGGTTCACTATGCTTTTCCTCTTTTTCTAACAAATATATTCAGGTTGTTTAACAAATTTGTAGTGTAAATTAAAAAAAAACTAAATCTTTATATATTCTGTATTTGTTTATTAGAAATTGACCAAAAGTTTTCTATCACAAACTGACTGAGTATGTAGACAATTACAATGTTGACATTTATATAAAGCATATTAAATGTACTTAATCACTGTCAAATCTAAAACTGTATAAGAACGATGTACCATTTAATTGAATTTTTGTCCAAACATTGACCACTGGTCATCTAGTCACTTTAAAGTCCAGTATTAAAGTTCCTGTTGTTTAAGTATTAAATACGTGATCATTTGAAGTAGTACAAGGATTACAGGAATAGTTTTTCAAATAAAATCTAACTATACACGTTCGAAACACTGTATAAGTGACAGTAATTAAAAGTCGACATTATATACAAAAAGGTATATGTTATAAAAAAAAACATACACGGAAAAAGCTTTTCAAACTGATTTGATTATCGTCCTTTTTGATAAAACCTTTATGAAAAACCAAAAATCCGAAAGCTAGAAATACAGTACTAGAATTGAGGTTATATATAGCTCGTTACCACAACATAAAAGACATTTACATCATGGTCTTATCATATTTTAAATTTTTCAGGACGGATTCAAGTTAGACTATTGCTTTTGAGACGCTTAGTGTTTATCTATCATATTCTTGAACCTTGGGGCTGAAAGTTTTGAAATCCGCAGAAAATTACTCTCAATACTTATTGAAATGGCACCAGTGATCTTAAAAAATGATTGATGATTATCCATATTGTTTAAATTCTAATACCATTCAGAACGATGTATGTCGCCTTTATTTCGGATTAGGGTCTTATTTTGACCCATGGTTATCTAGATATTTCCCAAGTCTCCATATAATAAAGATTCCTATTGTTTGTGTTTAACGCGATATCGTAGGTGGGGCATAAAATATCAATATACATATTTTAACGACAAAAACGCTGAAGCGTTAATGCATTCGAAATACAACTTTTTACAAAAAGTGAATGGTATCATACCTAAAAGACAGCCATCTCCCATGATATACCCTATATGAAATGCGTTGGGGATGTAAGTCACTAGTCAACTTGAAGACATCATTTGTGTACTGATCAACCAACGCGTGGTGGTGTATTTCTCAAAATTCTTCAGTACTGTTACGTGCATAGTTTATCTGTTAGTCTATGTATATTCCTCTTTCTACTCCCCCCCTCTCTTTTGATTTCAAATTAAATAAATCAAAACTAT